GAATAAATCAGACCTGGGGAACAACTCACTCTGGCGGTGACTCTGGTCAATAGGGTGCAGTTAAGTTTGGAAGTTTAAAGGAAAGTTTTCCTACTTTTTGCATCTTTTAAATCCCTGAGCTGATTACACTTGAACGCGCTTACCATCACCATATTGGGACAATAAACAAATAAACTGGTTTCCATCAAACCACAGTACACTAACCACACTTTATAATAAACTGTGGTTTGTTTCAACATTCTCAACTAAACATTCTTTAAGCAAATCATCACTTCAACATGGTTGCGATTTTGCACAAATATGAGATGGTTAGGATTTAAAAAAAACGACGTGTTTTCGCGCATGTTACGCCTAATACCGATTATTTACATATCTCCAGGCCCTGGTTTGATTAGGATTCTTTAAAGGCTTTGAAAAGAGATTTTTTAAAGAGATACGCTTTGTTGTCTAGCCTTTAAATGCCAGTAGATAGGCAGTCTCAGAAAAAAATGAAAATTGCTTCGAGCGCTAACTTGATTTTGATCAAATTAGGCTGAACATAAAGTTGTCGATTTTTGTTGACACTCTATGTAAAGCTTGTCGTTTTAGTTTAAACCATTTTTTTAGATAGCCCTTTACCTTTTGCCTGACATTATTCTTGAACACCCTGTAGATAGTTGACACGGATCAAACCTTTGAAATAAGAGGGATGTCAGACCTAATTGACAGATTTCACACTATCTCACTTTACTCTAGACCAAGGGTTTTATACGCAAGGATAATAAATATATTTCCGGTTCTTGCAATCAATGATTTTAAACCTTAGGATAATGAAGAGGATTTGGGTTGAAATAAAAGGTTAGTGTTTGAATTTTCTCCTTAAGATTTTTTACATAAAAAAAAATAAAAATATAAACACATTTAAACTTACAAATTCAAATTATTTACGATCTAGATGTTTTTTTGTATCTCTAGATAAACTTAACAAGATACATTTCCGATCAAAAAAGTTTCGAAGATTTTTGTCCAAGATAAAGTGAGGTGAGCGCTATTTTTAAACTTTGAAATTCCTCGGAAATGATAAAAAGTTTTTATTGCTCTTTTAATCGAGTTCTGTAGAGTTCTTCAGTATAATTGGAATAAACTGAGCTAATGCTCTCACTAAGGGTGGTTTCTAGTCCCAAGGGACACTCGGAGATAGGGATTCCACAGACCCAGAGATGGTTGTTTTTCGGAGAGTTTTAGGTGTTGGAGGGTAGACCAGTCCACGGGGTACACCCATAGTAAAAGGTTGGAATGTAGATGTTCTACGGAGTATACCTTGAATAAAGGGTTGGAAGGTTGGCTGGTCTAAAGAGTAAACCCGGAGTAAAGGGTTGTATGGTAGACACTTCTACGGAGTAAATCCAGAGTAAAGGGTTGTATGGTAGACTTTTCTACGGAGTATACCCGGAGTAAAGGGTGGGATGGTAGACTGGTCTACGGAGTATACCCGGAGTAAAGGGTTGGATGGTAGACTAGTCTACGGAGTATACCCGGAGTAAAGGGTTGGATGGTAGACGAGTCTACGAAGTATATCCTGAGTAAAGGGTTGGATGGAAGCCTGGTCTATGAAGTATACCCGGAGTAAAGGGTTGTAAGGTAGACTGGTCTAATGGAGTAAACCCAGAGTAGAGGGTTGTATGGTAGACTGGTCTACAGAGTAAACCCAGAGTAAAGGGTTGCATGGTAGACTGGTCTACGGAGTAAACCCGGTGTAAAGGGTTGGATGGTAGACTGGTCTACGGAGTATACCTGGAGTAAAGGGTTGGATGGTATACTTATCTACGGAGTAAACCCAGAGTAAAGGGTTGGATGGTAGCCTAGTCTACGGAGTATACCTAGAGTAAAGAATTGGATGGTAGACTGGTCTAAGGGGTAAACCCGGAGTAAAGGGTTGGATGGTAGACTGGTCTAAGGGATATACCTGGAGTAAAAGTTTTACGGTAGCCTGGACTAAGGATTATACTCTGAGTAAAGGGTTGGACGGTTTTATTGCTCCTGAGATACTCGTGTATTCTCCTTGTTTTCCCAACCAAACCCTAGTTTTTATAATCAAAAGTATAATTTTAATTAGAAATGCAGATTCAGAAAGTTTAACGAGGTTTTGTAATAAATAACATTTCATTCCTCTACCCTTCCCCTTCTCCCTTTCTCATTATAAAACCTTTTACGAGTTTTTTGTTTTTGACGTTTTTTGTATAATCTCCCATATGGGCAATGACAGGTTGCACTTAATCTATTTAAATCTTGTTTATTAGAATAAAATTCATATTATCAATTGTATTAGAATATCTACCAATAACAATTAACTACAAAAATATCTAAATAGTCATAACCCTGATTTTAATATCCCGAACCTATTCTTTTCTGTGGAAACAAAGCTCTTCTATATCTTCAGGAAATACCGTAAGTTTCAGTTTTCCTGCATTTGTAGGGTGTCCAAAAAACATATTTCCATCAAAAGGTTGATCACCTACAAAAGCTTGATCATTCATGTATGATTAACTGAAATATTTGAAATTTTCCGTACGTTCTTTTTTATGATGTCTAGGTTTTTGGACACCCTGTAGTTTTAAAAATGCAAAATTAAATGCAACATAACTATTAAACATGGCCGTCTCAAAACAAAGACTGAAGAACTACCTGTGGTCAGTAAAAAGAACTAAAAGAATGAAAGAAAAAGTATAAAGTGAATTCCATGACTACACTTCATACTCTTGCCTCAATCCTCTTATTAATCCTGATGATTTGCAGATTCGAATATATTTGCGAAAATGCGGGAATTCTGGTGTAAATCAGAAATCTGAGAGCAGTTCTGTAGATTACATCGAGGGGGGCGGGGGGGCGGGGGGTACACCTTTTTAACATCAAATACATGGTTAATTCCAAGTTAATTTGATCTTCACAATATCCAACAATAATATCAAATAAATATATATCCTGATATAATTCTAAAATTTATTGAATATCACATATAGTTCGATAGAGAAATAGATACATCTAAAGATTGATCTTCCAAACGTTTGATAGTTATAGATAGCTAGATAGATAGATAGATAGATAGATAGAGAATAAATGACAAAAGTATGGAGTAGATTATAAAACCCCAGGGTTTGTAAACATTGATATTTAAGTATTGAATGTCTAGAGTTACCCTCCATCCTGGCAGCCATCTTGGACTTTTATAATTATTTTTACTCGGTTGTAATTCGTGATTTATGAATTCAATATTTTTCCATTTATTTTGTTTATTTTCCAGCAGGTCTAGAGGCTAATAAAAGCTAATAAAATGTAAAACAATTATATCATTATTATTTAGTAGGTTTGGGATCAGGTTCCAGATTTAGAGAAAAAAATAGAATAATGAAATTTTTTAATCATATTCTTTTTTATTATTATTTATGCATTGATTTCCAGATTTAATAAGATTGTATTTTTGTATTAGTTTAACATAAAAGATTTTTTCATATTTTTGTTTTCGTCACATTTTTTACTCTACCTTCCCTCTTTCGTTTCATTCTTGTATTTCTTCTATTTTCCTGTTTTATATCTTTTAACTCTGTACATAGAATTTACACTATAATAACGAGCAATGAAAAGCATGAAAAATGCGGGAAATGAAGATGAACGGAATCCATTTTAGAATAAGCGAGTTTTCAGTCGATACGATTACACAAATCTAACCAGAATAAATCAGATGCAGGACATAACATTTATATATTTGTTAGAGGGGATCTTATATCGGTGGCTATCTTTAGATTTTATTTTGGGGATAAGCGGCCATTTTGATTAAAGTCGGCCACGTTGATTTGTCGGCCATGTTGATTTGTCGGCCATTTTGCCATTATTTAGAGTTTAACAGAAGTTTATAATATTTTTGTAATTAGTGAATTATTAAAGTGGAAAGAAACATTTGTAATGCGAAATTAAGCCCGTCCCTTACGTTTCATTTAATAATCTTATTTGATAATCAATACAGCTGTTTACAAACAATTATACAAAAACCGGTTGTATACAGTTCACAAAACTTTGTAATATTTTCTAAAATTTTCTTCTTGAAATTTAAAAAAATCTATCAAATAGTTGATTTCTAAGATATTTAATAGTCTGTCGTAAAATTTATTAAGATGTGTTTATTGTTACACAAAATTTAATATTTCTACAGTTCTTCGCTATCTTAGAAGTTGAAACGTTGAATACATGAAATACAAAATTTACAAACATACTTTATTGTCTCATAATTTAGTATTGCCAGTTTGTCTGATAAAATTAAAACTATTAGCAAGGTTCGAATGTTTCGCCATTATGTGGTTAAATTTTGTAATTCTTCAGGGATATGTTTTTTCACAAATCCTGGATAATAATGTAAATATTAAAATATTAAAATAAAACAAACTTTTATAGATTTTCTTTTTTCGTCATTTAAAAAAAATTGTATTAAAATTTTACCCTGTAATTGAGTTGAATCATCAATTGATAAATTAATTATTGAAAATGAAAAAAATCAGTTGTCAGGGAACATGCAGTTTAGTTAAACGTCTTGATGAATCAATATGGAGTGTTCAGAGACAGGTCAATCACCCTTCCCCCTCCTTCCCCCCCCACCTCCTCTCCTTCCCTCCCCTCCCCTATATAACCTTTTCAACATTTTGCATTTTCCAAATAATAAGTTATGTTTAATGTCTTAAAATTGTTTTTTTTTTATGCTTTTTTTAATGACATAAACTTATGACATATGACAGCTTTGCCTTCAAACTAAAGGTTTTCTTAAACCAATCAAAAATATGTTTTAATCGTTTTAGGGGTTCCTGAGTTATGATTGGACATCCAAACAAACAAACAGAGATTAGATAAAATCCTATTTTGTCCAAGTATTTCCATTGTTATATTTCATGTCTTAGTCCTGTTTTATTTCATGTCTTAGTTCTGTTTTATTTCATGTCTTAGTCCTGTTTTATTTCATGTCTTAGTCCTGTTTTGTTTTGAATTTTCTTCCTCAACCTGTTATTTTCTCCGGGTAGTGTTTAGAGTACTAGCCCTGCGTGAAAATTGTATTAAATTATTCCTAGAATATGCATAGGGAGAAGTTTAGTTTTCAACGGTGTGAATTGAACGTTATTTTGTTCAATTATCCACTCCGTTATCCTCTACACACCAACACCATATCCGACGAAAGGTCAAACAGATTTAATGATATCAGAAATTTCTCTGAATTTTCTAAACTTTTTGCAATTTTTCGTCTTTCCTCACCTGATCTCTGATCTCCAAATTTACTGAAAACATTGAAAGGATTAATATGGTTATGATTCAGGGATAGATATGGATACACGTGGATACAGGGATACATGGATAAAGAAAATGCATCTCTATAATAAGAACACAGATTAAATGCATATAAATATAAAAACGGATACAATTATATCCAATAATAAATAGATATATTATAAGCTCAAGAATAAGTGCATACATTTTCATTGTAATATTTGGATACCTAATATGTCAAAAATGTGTTTGAAAATCACAATATGCTCAAATTGGACCCGATCGTTGAAATCTCCATGTTTTTAACTTTAAACTATTTGCAGACCCTGAGATGATGATTCCAAGTGAGATTCCTCCTTCTCAGCTCTCCTCCTCCTCCTCCCCCTCATCACACTTTGGGGAGGTTCCCTCGGTGTTTCAGCAGGCAGAGCAGATGCTCCGGAACCAGCTGCTCCATCAGACAAGTCAGCAGCATCAACATCAGCAACAACAGCTTCCTCAACTTCATCCGCAGCAGCTTAGACTCATTCAGAATCTTCAACATTTTACGAAAAAGGTAATTCCACGCAAAGGTAAATTCTCGCATTTTTCTCCTATTTTGCTTTATCTCTCTCTCTGTTCTTTTTCTTCTTCATATGTTATGTTTTTTTTTCTTTTTCTCCAATTTCTTTTTTAGATATGCATCCAATTTTATTTTTACTCCCTACAATAATTCTGAGTAGATCTGATTTCCCGTTCAGAAATTGGATTAGATCAGAAATCAGAAATATTTCAACTTTCGATTTAATGTGTTAATATTGGATTTCCCTAGCTACGCTTTAAAGACCAGCCAGCGCAAATTCTTTGAATTCAGAATTCCGGTTTTGCTCGAATACAAGAATACAATAATACAATATATACATTGCATGCGTGTCTAAGAAAAGCGAAAGACCAAGTATGTATTACTGATCCTCAATTTCATGCATCCGCCCACCCCTCTCTTGGTTTCCCAGCAACCTGATGCGGGAAAAACAAAATCCAGAAAAATATTCATATTTTAAAATTTCTACAAAAACTGAAAATTCTCAACTTTTTGTGTTTAGGAACCAGTAAAGACAGAGTCCGAGTTTTCCCGTAAGGATGTTCCCTCGTTACTACAGGAACTACAGATCAATGTGCTACAGCAAACCCATCTCCTGCAGCAAGGAGAGAGCGCTAAAACCTCCGGTATCCTTCACCAGCTTCAAAGTAAACAACAAGAGCTGACCGCTCAGCTACAGCTGGCCCAGCATGCGCTCACCATCAATATCCTCATGCAGAATCAGAATAACGAGCAGAAGCGAGACAGACATAGAAGTGATACATACAGTAGTGACGGAAGCTTAAAAGAAAACCAATCTGATAATCTGAATCCGTCCCCACCTACTAGAAATAATGGACACCGCAGTAGTTCGGACGAAAACACTCCGGTAAAAGAAGAAGAGGAGGATAACCTACTTTACGTAAAACAACAATGCCAGTGGCCAGGATGTCGCAGAGAATGTAGTTCATCCGCGGTCTGGAGATTACACATGGACCAGGAGCACGGGTTTAATGAGAAGAGTACAGCTCAAGCTAGGGTTCAGATGCAGATTATATCTCAGCTGGAGAATCAGCTAAGACGAGAGAAGGATGTGCTCACAGCAATGATGAAACATCTCCACCCTGACACAGAGGATGAAAGAGAACGAAGGAGTCCTGTCGCGAAACGAATGAAAACTGAATCTCCCGTCCAAGAGTCACAAGGAGGACGTTTGAGCTTACCAGAGCTGATGAAATCTCAAAATCTTTCTCAATACAGCAATCCCTTGACACATTTAATGAACCTTGCCCCCACCACGCCCTCCCTCTCCCCCCTAGCAGCGCTCAGCTCCGCCTCTATTGGTCTACCAGCCACGCCTACCTCAACCCACGTCAGACACTCCTTTTCCGATAAGTCTCCTTATTCTCAAAACATGATTCCAGAAAGCCATCGGAGACGTGTGACACATCATGATCGCGGGAACCCTAATCTCGATCCCGAGGAAGATCTCGCTAAAAACCGTGAATTTTATCGAGTGCAGGATGTGAGACCCCCCTATACATATGCTGCTCTTATACGCGCGGTAAGCTATAATTATATCAAATATGGAAGATGAGGTTTCCAATCCGCCATATTTTTAGTTGAAAAGAAAAACAAAATTCAGTAAATAAATATTTTCTTTTTGGCAAGATAAATACTGTTTACGAAGTATCTAGTTGATGCAATCAAAGCCTTGAGAAATGAGAAAACAATATTTTTTGTTTCAGGCAATTCTTGAAGCTCCATACCAACAGTTGACTCTGCACGACATTTATAATTGGTTTACGTCAACATTTTGCTTCTTCAGAAGAAATGCAGCAAGCTGGAAGGTGTGTACAGTGTACAGTAAACTGTTAGATTATATTTTTGGTAGATTTCTACATTCCCGTCCAAACTTAAATGGACTCTAAGGGTAATTACAAGAAATTCACAACGTATCCTTGAAACCTTTATCTGATCATTAATGTGGAAGATATTTCTCGTTTAAAATAGGGTTTTAGATCATTCTGGTTATGATCTTCTATGTAGAAATGCCTAGGTCACGTTTGGGTTTGAAAATTTACTAATTCATATTTGATCAGACAAAGCTTTCAACGGTACTGTTGTGAATCGGGCATTGCTATTTTTAAATTGAGGGTCGACACTTGAAATTACGCCTGGAGTCCTCTTGATGAAAAATGTAATGGTTTTAAACTTTAAATCCCAGTTCTATCATTTGAAATTAACATTTAAAAATCATAAAAACAGTATCAAATAATCATTCTTAATCAACATAAATCACATATTACTATGGTATCTAAGTTCATTTAAAAACAAATTTCCTAAAATTCAAGATGATATATAAAATGTTTACCAACTGTTTTAATCTGTATCCTATTATTAGAGTATCATGCAATTACATACAAATAATGATTAAAACATGAAATGTTTAGAATGCTGTCAGACATAACCTCTCTCTGCACAAGTGCTTTAAACGTGTTGAGAACGTGAAAGGTGCAGTGTGGACAGTGGATGATCTAGAATATCAGAAGAAAAGAAATCCTAAAGGAAATAACCAATGGACTAGGTATGGTTACTGAGATAGTTTCATAAACATTTTTTAACGTTTAACCCTATAAGGGATGGGGGGTCTGAATCATGTATAGCCAAACGCCCCCCCCCCCTAGAAAAAGGCCTTAGAGAATAGGTAAAGGGTTGAAATGCATGTGCATAGCCCAATTTTTCATGGCAAGCTCAAGAAAAAAATTAGACCGAAAACTTTAATAGTTTGAGTGCTAGGGAGGGTGGAAAAAATGCCTAAAAAGGGTTAAAAAATGTTTTTTTTTTTTTAAACAAATATCAAAGTGTGACACATGTTTCTACATGCATTTTTCAAGGGCTTTTCAAAAATATAGTTTAAGGTCTGTAGCTTTAGTCAAAAAATTTATGGATTATTTTAATTTTTTTTTCACAGACCGGACTCAAAAATGAGAGTGCAAGAACAAAAACAAAACTACAGGGGGGCCGCCAATTATGAATTATGATCGGACATACAAACTTAACCAACTAATTTTATACATTTAGAAGAACTTTAGTCGTCTCAAATGTTAATTGTCTCATCCTCATGTATTAAACTTATGCTGGTGTAAACCTTTGATATTTCAAACTTTGACTTTGTGATCTTACATAATTTATAATTTAAGATATTATAGGTCTACGACATTGGGTTGCAAAGATATATGATCTAGAAAATCAGCGTTTTTAACAAAAACTCAATTCCTTTATTAATTTATCCAGCTAAAAGTTTGAATATAAAATTCGTTGTAATTGTATTATTTCAAAAGTTTTAAAGCAAAGTAAACTAATTCAAAGTTTTTAGATTTAAAACAATATAATGATGTAAACAAACAAGTTTAATTACTTTTACCTAATTATATAAACACAATTAAAAAGTGTTTATGATAATAAATTATAATGACGTCGGTTCATTTGCATATTTTCAAAACTTGACCGCCTTTTTATCTTCTTCATCTATATAATAAAGCACTTCGCTCATATATATTTATATATTTATATGTTAGCTACAGCTTGCCAAACGACTGACCCAAATTGGCTGAATTTTTTTAGGGAACCCTTGGCTATCCCGGGGGTAACAAAGGCTAAGAAAATTAGATTTTTTTTCAATTCAAAATATTTTTTTTTTCAAAATTATTTTTTTTTAATTCCACGGGCAACGCCGCGCGGGGGTCCTTTAGCTAATCTTATCCTAATTCTAAAATATTGGATCAATCGGCGCTTCAAAGCCTGCGCTAAGATCTATTTAAGTACTGTGCGCTCATCTTGAGTTTATAAATATATATTGTGCGCGGGGTGCGCAATTCTCTGCTTGAAGTCTTTATTACACTAACATTAAAATTCCATTGGTAATTTGACGATCTTAACATCTTTTTATTCTAGTGCGCTTGAGAGCCCGAACGCGCACACCAGTCCGTCTCTGTATGAGGGCGCGTTTCGTTTGGAAACAACCGCGCGCCCCTCGGACATGTTCTCCGCGGGTTTGCACGCCACCATGCTCATCGGGTCCTGCAAGGGGGAGAACATCCATGACGAGGACTCCCCCATGTCCTCTCCTGTGGACGAGTCCTACAAAATCCGAATAGGACCTCGGGGTTCGTCCTCTCCAGCCTCACACGACGGCGAGGACTGTAAGCCTGAGCTGGAGGAGGACGGAGAAGCTCAGGACCTGACTGTGTCTTTAAACCACCTCCAGGACGAGGCTATGGACGAGGACAAAACTAAAATGAATTTATACGAGGATGAGGACGCGTCTCTTCATTGAAAAACTCAGTTTAGTAAATTTGTGTCAGGACAAACCAAACCTCTTCCAGCCATTCGTTCTTTATCCCTGGAACCTAGAATATCCTTATGATCCTTAGTACCCGGATATCTATAATCTATATCCATATGGAACCAAGTACCCGGATATCTATAATCTATATCCATATGGAACCAAGTACCCGGATATCTATAATCTATATCCATATGGAACCAAGTACCCGGATATATAATTTAAACCTTAGAATTTAGCAACTGCTATGAAACTTTATCTGGTGAACAATCTGGTGAACTTTCTTCTGGTGATAATTAACCACTTATATTTATGTACACTGTAAAATTGTTTGATAATAATGGATGACAGTGCAAAAATAGTTGTTTTTATATAGTTTTCTACCAAACAGTTTTCTAACCTGCATTTATCAAAAAAACTTCCGTAGCATTTAAAAACCGGTGATTCCCCATAAGTACATGTATCTTTAAATTCGGGTACAGCATTTATGTACGCTTATGTACAGCAGCCTTGTTAACTGTACACTGTGAGCTTTAGCCTAATATAATGTGTCCACCTCTAGTATATATATAATATATAAAATATTATCTCATAATATAAATTAATCTTGCAACATTTTTTCATTCATTTTTAGGTTAAAATATTTGCAGATTTAGGAACCAAAAGTTGTAATTTTTTGTAACAAATTCTTTGATTATACAAAAATGCCAACATGGATTTCTTTATCCAATGTGGGCACTCACTTGCAAACAGGGTTATGTCTGATTCACAACGGTATCATTAAAACCTTTATCTGATAAAGAATGTGGAAGATATCGTTGCTTTTCAAGAATGAAAAGTGTTTGATTTTATCCATTTTTCATGTAGCAAGAAGTTCGCAAGTCAGCACAACAAAAATAAAAATTTCAATCTTTTGAAGAAAAGATATATCATTCACTCTTGATCAGAGAAAGCTTTTAAGAGTAAAAGAATTGAGCTTTTGCCACAAACTCTGATTTTCTATTCCTTATATCATTACAATTCAATGTTGTAGACCTTAGATATCTTAAACCAGGAATTATGTTAAATTAAATAATCAAAAATTGAAATATCAAATGTTCACAACATCAGGTTGCAAAAATACTGGGATTTGAAAGTCAGAGTTTGTGGCAAGAACTCAGTTCCTTAGGGAATCACTCTATAAATGGAGGGTTACTCAAGTTTATTCCTTTAAAGAGAAACATTTTGGAATATCACAGTCTCACAGAGGGAAAACGCATCAACACAAAAATGGATATTATTCGAAATAAATATTCGAAATAAATATTTTAAAAAAATGTTCGAAATAATTAAAACGATAAAAAGAAGGAGAATTGTTAATATCGATTTTCAACCAAGCCTATAGAGTGACAAACTTAAAACACAAGAATAACTTACTTAATAATAGCATTTAAAACTTCCAGAAGCTATTAATCAATTAAAGAGATTTTATTTAAAAGAATCTTAAAAGAGTCTTTGTTACAAACTCCGATTTTCCAATTCCTAAAACTTTGCAACCGGATATCGCAGACCTTTGATATTTCAAACTATGAATTCTATTTGATCAAATAGTCTAAGCTTGAGATATCAAAGGTTTACACCATCTGGTTGAAAAGATATAGGAATTGGAAAAGAAATTGATTTTTTGTCACAAACCAAAATTGTTCAATCCCTTTATCTGTTCAACCCGATATCGCAGACCTGTGTTATTTGAAAATAGTCTAAGTTTGAAATATCAAAGGTTTACATAATCAGGTTGCAAAGATCGGATTGGAAAATTTGAGTTTTTGGCAAGAACTAAATTCATTTGAAAAAAATTGAGACCATACATTGATGAGTTTTTTAATGTCTTAAAGAGTATTTTGAAATATCTAAGTGATACTTACCATTTCATTTGTTCATTTGTTAACCCTAAAACAAGTTATTTTTTCCTAAAAGGGGATGACTAAACGTAGAGGCGTATTTTCATAATTAACCTTTGCATTTTATTTAACAATGAATTGTTGTACAAATTAACCCCCCTCCCATCCTACCCCTCCAACTGGCATTCTTAGGGTTAATATTCTATTGCTGAATGATACTGAAAATTATTGTTTTTGGTCTGATAAGAATGTTTGTACTTTTTATCCTGTCAAGCGGTAAGCTTAAAGTACGAAGACATTATAATGAAGTTTATTTATGGCAAATTAATGTTTTTTTTTCAGCTACAGTCAACAATAAAAATAAACGTACAGTGTCCGAATTTAATGAATTTGAGCCGCGACTTAAATCCGCTAAAAACTGGTTTATATTCTTTAAATTCAGCCTCAGGGTGTTTTTTCAATCTTGATTTGTCTATGATACTGATAAATCAAGGAAGAGTATCCTTTTGATTACATTTTAAGAATAAAATGTTATGAGAGTGTTTGATTAAAAAAGAATTTGATGATTTTTCAAAAACGTTTAAATAATCACCCCTCATTCTCTCTTTTTCTAATATTTTCAACGTTACTCTTTGGAGAAACAGCATTTTTTTTTACCTTCGTCATCCTAGCTTTTAGAGATAGAATCTTGTAACACACTTTTTTGCTATTTAAAGGAGTTGAGTCTTTGCCACAAACTCTGATATCTCTATATCCTGATATCTTTACAACCCGGTGTCGTGGTCCCTCGATATTTCAAACTATGAATTCATGTTAAAGATCAAATTATTTAATTATATAAATATGTAACATTTACAGGGTGACCCATAACAAGCAGGGATTAGCGTTTTGCAGCCCTTTCAATCTTATAAAATGACTCGAAAATGTGCTTAAGTGCATGGATTTTAATTTTAGTAAGTTTTTGTCTTCTGACTCTTCTGTTTGGTGTAAAAAACTATGTCGAATAATCGAAAATCTCTCCGTTTACTGTTTAAGAAACAAACAAACTTCATTTACATATATCTGAACCCCTGTAGATTTTTCTTCGAGGCTTTCTGAAATCCAAGGTGTATACGTAGTCCTTAATCCAGAACTCTTTGAAAAGAAACCTATTGAGAGAGGTTGCAGGGATCCTGGCCCCATGGTAGAGAGATTGCAGGAATTCTGGCCCTATGGTAAAGATGTTGCAGGAATCCTGGCCCTATGGTAGAGAGATTGCAGGAATCCTGGCCCCATGGTAGAGAGATTGCAGGAATCCTGGCCCCATGGTAGAGAGATTGCAGGAATCCTGGCCCCATGGTAGAGAGATTGCAGGAATCCTGGTTCCATGGTAGAGAGATTGCAGGAATCCTGGCCCCATGGAAAAGAGGTTGCAGGAATCCTGGCCCCATGGTTGCGAACTGCTAAAATAGGCGATTTTTTTGCATGGCCTCAAATTGGAGACTATTTCAGAAAAAATTTAAAATATAAACATAAAAGTAATCTAATTAAGTATTCATTATTATCATTTCTAAGCATATGTTTGTTTCTCTCTGCTTTTTTAGATTTAAATAGAATAATAAACAGTAAACAGAGAAGATTTTGAACATTCGACATAGTTTAACGCCAAATGAAAGCATTAAACGACAAAATGATACTTAAACGACCCCTTCTAAAATTAAAAACTACAACCAACAGCACTTTTTCAGGTCTTTTTTAAGCTTATTGAGGCTTGTACACGATAATTCCTGTTTTTTNTTACAATTTGAATGAAAAGTACAAGGTTAGTCAGTAAACGTAAGAATATGCAAAAAGATTATGTGGAAGATATTTAAAAGAGTAGAAGATCTTACCTATTTAACATAATTGAAGATATATCGATCACTTTAAAAAAGAGGAAAGCTTTAAGGAGTCAAAACTTGTGACTTTCAATTTATAAAGTGGAATCTCCGAATTGCATTGATATCCTTTCACTCTTTAGCTGAGTAACAAAGAGGAAGATTACATCGTTTTTTCTTTATTGTTTCTGCTGCATAGATAAAAACATCAACTTTAAAGGGAATTACCGGTTACCGGCTAGGTAAGGTAGTTGAACTGAGTATGCAGTGTTGTAGAAAACTTCTTCCAGATTCATTTGAGACATCTTAAACTTTTTAAAGATCTGTAATTCCTGAGTTTGAGCGGAAATTCGACATTCAAAACTCCTACTTTGGGGGTGAATACGTTTTCAGAATTAGTTTTGTGAAATTATTAAATAACGACAACGAAAAATAAGGTAAAAATTATACAGTAATCTGATTAGATGGTTAGGAACATATTTCTCAAAAGAAAGGAATTGAGTCTTTGCCACAAACTCTGAATTTATAATCCCTATATCTTTGGAACCCAATGTCGCAAATCTTTGATATTTCAAAATTACATTGTTTGATCTAACAAAATTCATAGTTTGAAATATCTAAGGTTTACGACATTGGAATCCAAAGATATAGGGATTAGAAAAGCAGAGTTTGTGGCAAAGACTCAATTCCTTTGTCAATAAATCAATGCTAAAATCGATTATTTCGTTTTCATTATTTTATTGAATTTCTTATCTTACATGAATTTATTCGAAAATATCTTCAAATTCTTCAAATGTCGTCTTTTCAATAACGATTCTAGAAAATCTGCGAAAACTTTTGTGAATAATGAGAAACCAGAATAATGAGAAAATAGAAACTAATAGTTGAACAAGATTTTTATTTTCGATGATAAGATTAATTTTTTTCTCAAAATGTTCTTATACATGACGTCTGTAGTTTATTGTAGAACTTTTTTACATTTTATGTCGTCGTTATATAATAATTTAAAAATAACTAATTCTGAAAACTCCCAAAGTAGGAGTTATGAACGTCGAATTTGCGCTCAAACTCAGGATTTACAGATCTTTAAAAAGTTTATTATGTCTCAAATGAATCCGAAAGAAGTTTTTCACAACACTGCATACTCAGTTCAACTACTTTGCATAGCCGGTCACTCCCTTTAAAGAGAATCTGGAATTTAAAATGATCTACTGTTAGCTAAAAAAAACTAGGATATGGCATTGATCCATGTTCAAAGAGTTTGAATGAAGAAAGAGGGGATCTAGAGATTTAATATCAAATAAATATTCGCAATGATTCATGCAAAAATATCAATAAAAGCAGGAAATTGTTTAAATACCGTGGTTGCGGATTTCTTTAGACAAATATTCGCAAAATTATTTGCAAACTTCTATTTGTGGTTTTATTACTCATGAATGATTAGCAAACCGGAGATTTTGTATGAACAGATGCAAAAATATTATTCAGAAAAAAAAAATTGAACATTTTATCTATCACTGTAAGCGTAATTTCAAGATGTCAATGCCCGATATACAACGGTACAACGGTACCCTCGAAACCTTTGTCTGATCAAGTATAAATTAGATATTAATGTTTTTGTTTCTTAAAACTGTTTACTTTCATTTGGGGGTTTTTGCGAGAGTGCCTTTTGCATTTCTTGTTTAGAACAATTGCAATGGAGAATTCACAGAAATTAACACTTGTTTAATCAGATATAAGGTTTAAGGGGGTAACGTTGTAAGACTTGAAATTACGCTTACAGTCCCTTTAAGGGATTAGGAAACCCCCAAAAACACTTGCTTGTCATATTTTTGATTGTTTTGAGTTTTCAACTAATAAAAGCATCTTTATCCTTTTGTTCAAGAATAGTTTAGATTTTCAAAAATTAGTATGTGTAAAAAACCGTTTCTAAACAGCTTTATAAAAAGAAAACGGAGCTAAAAACTTTAGAATGGTGGATATCGAGATTAATGCTTGATCTCCTCTTTTTCTTAATCTCCAGATTAAATAATGATTGTTCTCCTCTTTTTATTAATCTCCAGATTAATTTACCTATCGGGATTAAGGATATCCCATTCTAAAGTTTTCAGCTCAGGCCAAATAAAGTTGAAAATTTTAGATTTGTTGTTTATTTTGAAGATGCAGGAATAGAACTTCAAGGTTGTTTGAAGTAAACATTATCTATTCTAGAAGCATCTAAGATTCAGGTCAATTATGAACTATTCAAAATATAGACCGAGAAAAAAAATTAATCTTTTCCATTTTGTTAAATCACAGAAAATACTTATCATGTGTTTTGAGGGATTTTTAAAAGGAGATTCTAGTTAATTTACAAAAGTCCTTGTCTCAAAAGTAAAATACAATTCAAACGATTGATCTGTTCTTTTCTCTTGTAATCTCTTGAAAGTTTGCTAGATTATGGGGTCCTGCAAGAGTGTGTTCTTGCCCCGTAGCTCTGCTCTAAACTATTGTATTCTCTTAAAAGTTTGCTGGAATATGGTGTACTGCAAGGGTGTGTTCTTGCCCCGTAGCTCTGCTCTAAACTATTGTGACCTCTTAAAAGTTTGCTAGAATATGGTGTACTGCAAGGGTGTGTTCTTGCCCCGTAGCTCTGCTCTAAACTATTATGACCTCATAAAAGTTTTCTAGAATATGGTGTCCTGCAAGAGTGTGTTTTTGCCCCGTAGCTCTGCTCTAAACTATTGTTACCTCTTAAAAGTTTGCTAGAATATGGTGTCCTGCAAGAGTGTGTTTTTGCCCCGTAGCTCTGCTCTAAACTATTGTAACCTCTTAAAAGTTTGCTAGAATATGGTGTCCTGCAAGAGTGTGTTTTTGCCCCGTAGCTCTGCTCTAAACTATTGTAACCTCTTAAAAGTTTGCTAGAATATGGTGTCCTGCAAGAGTGTGTTTTTGCCCCGTAGCTCTGCTCTAAACTATTGTAACCTCTTAAAAGTTTGCTAGAATATGGTGTCCTGCAAGAGTGTGTTTTTGCCCCTTAGCTCTGCTCTAAACTATTGTAACCTCTTAAAAGTTTGCTAGAATATAGTGTACAGCAAGAGTGTGCTCTTGCCCCGTAGCTCTGCTCTAAACTATTGTAACCTCTTAAAAGTTTGCTAGTATATGGTGTACTGCAAGGTTGTGTTCTTGCACCAAAGCTCTGCACTGTACTCTTGTCTCTTTTGACCTCTGTATAGGTTTCTGTAATATGGTGTCCTGAAAGGGTTAATTCTTATTCCTCAGCTCTGCTATATATTCGTGTGACCTCTTAAAAGTTTGCTAGATTGTGGTATCCCACAAGAGCGTGTTATTATCCCGTAGCTCTGTTTTTTACTCTTGTGACCGATCTTGTGTCCCTGCTGGCTGCAAGGGTGTGTTCTTGCACCATAGCTCTGCTCTCTACTCTTGTAACCTCTTAAAAGTTTTCTGGATGAATGTGTCCTGCAAGGTTGTTTTCTTGTCCCGTAGATCTGTTCTAAACTCTTGTGACCTCTTGAAATTTTGCTAGACTACAGTGTTCTTCAGGGGTGTATTCTTGTCCCGTAGATCTGATCTAAACTCTTGTGACCTCTTGAAATTTTGCTTGAATATAGGTGTTCTTCAGGGGTGTATTCTTGTCCCTTAGCTCTGCTCTAAACTCTTGTGACCTCTCAAAAGTTTGCTAGACTATGGTGTCCTTGTAAACATATTTAGTGCTGTAGCTCTACAACTGATCTGTAAATCTTGTTAATCCTAGAAATCCTAGACTATTAGTAGACGCAGACTACTGGATACATGACCTTCACATATTTGCTACAGAAGATGCAAAAGAAAAGCTAGGGATTAAAAATGTTTTAACAAAAATGAAGTGAAGGTTTAAAATACAGAACAAGAGAAAGAGGAAAGATTTAGAAGAAGATAAAGAAAAGAATGAAAAGAGGAAAAGACAAATACTAAAATAGAATAAGAAAATGTCAGTTTTCAGTGTGGTAGGTTAAAATGAAAAGAAATTTGAGTATTTTGGGAGTAAAAAAAACATAAGAAATTAAGGATACTAATTGCTGAATCAAATGGTGTGAAAAAAAAAATTATACAAAATAAATTAAAAAAACAGAGAATTAATCTATATAATAAATCTCTACGCTCATATATATCGATTTGTATATTTGCATATATATGTTTGATATAGCTGGCCAAACAGCTGGACCGAATGGGCTGAAAGAAACCCGTGGGTTCCTAGGAGGTAACATAGGCCAGTTAAGCAAAAATAAATATTAACTACTTATTACACTGTTATTTTGGTTCGCAGTGTTATAAAGTTTTTGGACAGAAGTTTTCTCTTTATCGAGAAGGTTCAAGCCTTTTCAGATTTAAAATTTTAGATTTGATTTAAAAAGGCGAGAACCTTCGAGATTTAGAGAAAATTTAAGTCCAAAAACTTTATAGCACGTCGTGCCAAAAAAAATAGTGTTATAGGTAATTTTATAATACGTTTGTGTACTTGGCTTATTTCAATGGCTGTTTCTAGATCAAATAAGCTTGGTAACAAAGCAGAAGTCAAAAGTTGGAAACATCCAAAATTTTTTGGAGAAAATCGGGAAACCAATCAAAACTGTATAGCACACATTCTATAATGTGCAGCTAATTTAACTTTATAGGACAATGATTACTTTATAGCACACGTGATATAATGTACAGCTAATTTAACTTTATAGGACAATGATTACTTTATAGCACACGTGATATAATGTACAGCTAATTTAACTTTATAGGACAATGATTACTTTATAGCACACGTGATATAATGTACAGCTAATTTAACTTTATAGGACAATGATTACTTTATAGCACACGTGATATAATGTACAGCTAATTTAACTTTATAGGACAATGATTACTTTATAGCACACGTGATATAATGTACAGCTAATTTAACTTTATAGGACAATGATTACTTTATAGCACACGTGATATAATGTACAGCTAATTTAACTTTATAGGACAATGATTACTTTATAGCACACGTGATATAATGTACAGCTAATTTAACTTTATAGGACAATGATTACTTTATAGCACACGTGATATAATGTACAGCTAATTTAACTTTATAGGACAATGATTACTTTATAGCACACGTGATATAATGTACAGCTAATTTAACTTTATAGGACAATGATTACTTTATAGCACGTTTATTATGAAATTCACGATGAAGTGAGGAAGAATGATGAAGTACACTATAGTTTCATAAAATTAATTATTAACATTATTTATTAGTTTGTGTGGATGATGGGTATATAAAGAGGTTGGCTGCTGAAGCAACTCACCACCAGAAACTGGGACTCAAGCTTCCTGGATCCGCTATGAGTACAGCTCCTAAGGAAACTAACCAAATATTCAAAACATCCTTGAGCGTAATTTCAAGTTAGTCTCCATGCATTGCAAAGATGGCAATGCCCTATTTACAACAATACCCATTACCCATGAAACCTTACAAAAGATGTATGTGTAAGATACAATAATTTTTTCTGATGCGAAAAGTGTTTATTTCTGTGATTTTCTCCATTACTTTGCCCAAGTCACTTTCGCAGAGAAACTGCAAATGTAAATAAACAGTTTATAGGAACAACATTGATATCTAATTATTTAAATTTTATCAGACAAACCTGTTAAGGGTACCATTGTTAATTAGACATTGTCATCTTTGCATGGAGAGAAACTTTAAACAGCGCTTACACTCCCTGTACACTGTACAGTCCCTTTAATGTACACTGTACACTGTACAGTCCCTTTAATGTACACTGTACATTATACCCTGTACACTGTACACTGTACCCTGTACACTGCACAGTCCCTTTAATGCGTCGGTTAATTTTTTGAATAGTATAAAAGTGATTGGTTTCCAGGAATCAATTATATTTAATTATTTGGAAATCTTGATCAATTTGGCTAAAAATGTTGATTTTTGTAGAATTTAGTTTTTGATTTCTGCACGTTCACAATTTCAAAGTTTTTTTTTATCAAAACAATGTTACATACGTTGAGATTGTTTTCATTTTTTAAAGTTTTAATTACATATGTCACCAATTATTGACATAACAAAAGTATTAATAATGTTGTAAAACTCGTCCAGTTTTTAACTTGAAATGAAGCAACCCTCAGCTAGAAAAGACAAGTTTTAAAAATAAAAAGCAACGGTAAATATTTCAAAGAAAAATGTATTGAAGATTTTTAAGGCCTTTAAACAAGGTATTTTAAGCGTCAATCCTTGTCAATCAGAATTTACTCTTTCTTGAGAATTCGTTGAATAATTTGTTGGGTTAGGAGCTCCGCAAGGTGGATTTAAACGCTAAAATGTCCAAGTCTAAGAAGAAAAAGTTGAAGAAGAGAGAGAAGAGGAACCAGCAGTTGATGGAGGACGCCCTCAAGCACGTGAACAAGGACGAGAACGGACTAGAGCTACCAGAGGAGGATTGCAACGGACACATGGAGGAGGATCAAAAGTCGGAGAAATCAAGCAAATCGGAGGTAAAATATATTTTATACATTTTAGGTTTTATAGTGATGAAAAACTATTCAATTTTTTCTTATTATTTTTGTTTTATTTATTTTATAATTTGTTTCTCGGCAGAAACTTAATTTCGTCACAACGAAAACATTAACAAAAATGAAATCAAGAAATATTTACATTTTGATTGATTTGATTGATTGCTGGTTAGTGATTGATTGTTTGATTGATTGATTGAAGGCTATGAGTGTAACCAGTCCTGATTGGGAGGAGGCCCCGTCCTCCGTTCAAGCTACAACCACCCTAGCTAAAGAGGTAACATTACATATTTTATTTTAAAAAAATAATTTCCTCTTTCCCACCCATCTGAAGTTAAGTATGATAATTATAATTTTATTTTATTTTATTCGCTATATGGGGTGAAATAATTGCATATTTTGAAGGTAAAACGTATCAGTCAGGGTGGAAACCTTGCAAGTTTGAGGTCCAATTTCATTTCCCCAGATTGTCGAAAATCATTTCGAGAAAATTCTGAGAGACACCGAGATCGGGGACACTCAGAGCCACTTGGATCTGACACTTAGAGACACTGGGATCTTTACAAATTATACTTTTTAATTCTTAATTTATCAAAGTTGGAATGTTTGATTGTGAGATATTTTAAGCAGTGCTTAGGATCCGGATCCGTTGGATCCGCAAGATTTTGGCTTCCTGGATCCGGATCCTCAAAAATATGCGGATCCACGGATCCGGATCCAAGGGGTAAAATATCAACCAAAAACTGAAAAAAAACTTTTTTACTCCTAAAACCGAAAGCTGAACTTTTGAAAAAAGAGATTATAAAAATTTCCTCATTTCTAAATGGTTCATCAAGTTTTAGGATAAAAATAAGCGAAAAAAATTAAACAAAAAATTTGAAAATTATTTGTTGTTAAAAAATTTCAGTAAATCTTAAAGAAATGACCTGGATCCATTTTTTTTCAGTGCGGATCCAGGATCCGGATCCGCATCAAAATTAAATGGATCCTAAGCACTGAAATAAGAAATTGAATATTCTTGATTAGATTATATTTGATCTGGAACTAGGTTGATGTCGACGAAGCTCTAGCAGGTGGAACTGATACTTATACTACTGCTACTGAAGCTGCTGATACTGCTAAGGATTCTGCTAACGGATCCAATGATAACTCTACTCAAAAACAAATAAACAAATCAGACCCAGAGGTATTGCCATTAAATTGTAATGATATCATTAATCATGATATGAAAAAAGTCTTAAATGTTGGGAATCATCTTTGTTAAGAACAAAAGTGAGTTTAGTTTTTGGATTTTAGGCAGTGGGGGAGAATTAAGAAGTGACACTTTTATATGTTTAAAGGTTTTAGGTCGCTTCGTGCACCCTCTTCTATTATCAATTTAACATTAAAACGTTGCTTCTCAAACTGATTTTTTGCGGATATTTCTGCATTTTCGTAAATAATGAATATTGACATTTTTCAACTTTGATGCTCTTAAAACCTTCCCTTTGGTTATGTGAGTTGCAACTAAAAAATTCGGTTTCAGCCGGCATCATTGATGATTTAAATGTTTTTAAATCCCATTAAATAATTATAAGTTCAAGTTCTCTGTTTTGTATAAAAAATTGTCTCAAGGTTGATGAAACAGCTGATGTGCTCCCTGTGGAACAGGAGACAGAGAAGGAAGTATCCATGAGAACCATCAGTATCAGCAGTGAGATGGAGAACCTAGAGACCCAAGCTTCAGGTTAGATCAAGGGTTGTATAGGATAGTTATTATAAACTACATAACTGTGGAACTAGGAGGTCCTTAAAGTCTGATTTGACAAGTGTACCATATTCTTTGTTTTAGTTGAGGTTCGTAAACCTGATCCTTGTCGTGAAGTGGATCCAGAGCTGACTGTTAAAATAGCAGATCTTGGGAACGCTTGCTGGGTTCATCATCATTTCACAGAGGAGATTCAGACCAGACAATATAGGTCCCTGGAGGTAGGTTCATGTTTGGATTCTTCTCCGGACTCCTGGTGGAGTATATTACAACCTGGTGTATTTTTTCTTGAAAAATAGCCCCCCCCCCCGTTCCCTCCTTTGAAAATTATTCTTTCACCCCAGAATTTTTTTACTTGATATATATACTAAAATATGAAGATTTTAAAGCTTAGTCTGATATATATGGTGTACAGTAAATAAATATAATATATGTTCTATTTTAGGTCTTACTGGGTGCAGGGTATGGTCCCCCTGCTGATATATGGTCTACTGCTTGTATGGCGTTCGAACTTGCTACCGGTGATTACCTCTTCGAACCTCACTCAGGTCAGCTGCCCAAGAGTAAACTTATTTTACAAAAGATGTGATCACTCTCCCTCCCCCTGCATGAAAAAATGTTTTCCGAAGGGGTACAGACGTCAGTTTTGTTCTTTGTAACAATAAATTGTTCTTTTATATTTAGATATCTATCATTTAAGCATATAAAAAAAGGTAAGTCAACACCTCTGTTAAGACTGTCACCCAAATTTCTATTTTCTCGGTTTTAGACATTAAGAGCTAACACGAATTCATAAATACTTTCTACAAATATATCTCGTCAGAAAGGGGAATTTTTAAAAATATTTTTTAATTATATTTATGGATGAAAACTTGTTTGTTTGTAGGAGAAGACTATAGTCGAGATGAAGATCATCTAGCGCACATCATTGAACTCGCTGGACCCATTCCTCGTCATATCGCCACCTGCGGCAAGTACAGTAAGGAGTTCTTCAGGAAGAACGGAGAGCTGAGAAATATAACGAAACTGAAGCCGTGGCCGCTCTTCGAGGTTCTCACAGACAAGTACGAATGGGATCCTAAGACCGCCGAGGAGTTCTCTGCCTGGTTGATCCCTATGCTTGCTTTCGACCCTAACCAGCGCGCTACAGCATTGGAGTGTATCAACCATCCATTCTTGGCAGACCTGTAACCACCAGAGCTCCCATACACTTCTTAGGCTCGATTCTTCAACAGTCGAGACGATCCCTAGTCGAAACCTCGACGAACCAATTTCTCCCATAGCCTACTTCAGGCGCAGTATAGTTGCGCTTAGTTGACTTGTAGTAGAAGCAGGCTCATCCTATATCCTGGGATCTATCCTACTACTACTTCTAACCTACCTAACATGTGCACCAACTATTTCAAGACGCAATATAATAGTGTCGTCTAGTTTATAGTTTATCGATAATTTGAAATTTGACGGGTTTGTCTCTAAACTTCAGCAAGATTTTAACAAATTTTGAATGGATAGTTTTTAAGATTTTGTTTTAATGTTTAGAATTCTTAAGATTTCTAGATAAGTCCAGTTTTTTCCGTTCTTCCATTGGTTCAGAGAATTCAAGATTATATTTTTAAAGGAAATTGAGACTTAATCATATGTTTCCCCGACCCTGAGTGACATTATTTTGGTTGCAGAAATATAATTGCAAAATAATTATTGAGGTATTTATTGCCCTCTTTGAAAATTGTTGAGAATGTAATATATTGCGTGAAAGACAATAAGAATACAGAGCCCACAGTTTATCCCACTAATATTACGTTACTTAAAGCTTATAAGTTAAGCTTAACTTAAGTACAAGTTAAGTGGCTTAGACTGTCGACTCAGTAATACGAGTTCAGTTGTAGGCGCACATGTATAATTATTATTATTTATTCACAATATTAAGTCCTGAGAAGCAGCACATTAACTCCAATCTGACTTGTCCTCTTTTTTCATCACAACTGTACATTATGTACCGCCTGGAGTCTGTGCAGTACATATTTTTTTAATGCAGTACAGCCCCAGCGCAATAATGCTAACAACTTTCAAAGTTTTAAATTTTAATTTTTTGGGCTCATGTTTTGAGTCTAATTATTGTTAAATCTTGTTGGAAAATCATGGTATATAAACTGCGATTGTGCGATTATTTCATACTCGCCCCGCTCGCGTTATTTAAAACATTAATACTAAGTAACCCTAAATTATGGTGAATGTCGCGTATTTGAGTAATAATTATGCACGGCCTGTTGCGTCGAGGAAAAATAAGACAAGTTACAAACTTGAACCAGTGTTCAAATCCAGCCACCATTTTCCCCCAGTCCGGGGGGGAAACTAATATTCGTTTTGATTTGATTTAATAACCTTGTCTCAAGCTTTAATATAGATTCACGGATCCGATACTGACCCTCTTGTGGAAAATTATGTATTAACGATGCAATTCAGTTTCCTTCCTTGGATTCAGTTTCCAGCATTTTTCTCGGTCTTGATTTTTTTGCGACACATCAGGACAATTTCTTTCAGGGATTATGCTCTCAAGATAAAATGGCCGCACAAATGGTGGACTTACGGAAAGCCCAGGTAAGATTTCTTTCTTCAAATTCAAGGATTTTTGATGTAAAAAAAGAGAACAAATTACACATTTTTGCTGAACCCTGTCGAGTGTCAATGGCTAATCAGATCTTAATGACACTTCCTTCTTCAGAGAAATAACTCGTGAACAAACAAATCGAAAAATTTTCTGCACTTCTGAATTAATATTAATCACGACTTTGATCCGGCTAAAAAATTAAAAAGATTTCTTAATTAATTCTTAATCAAACGATCGTTTGCAATATTTTTAAATTAGATGAGTGGAGAGGAGGAGGATCCTGATGATCCTACAGCAGTTGTTGATGAGGTAGATCACCAGGGGGACACAGATACTCAGGTAGAGATCAATAATGTAGAGTTGTTGAAGATGTAGATCACAAGGGAGATACAGATACTCAATACTCACTACTCAGGTATAGATCAATAATGTAGAGTTGTTGAAGATGTAGATCACAAGGGAGATACAGATACTCAGTACTCACTACTCAGGTAGAGATCAATAATGTAGAGTTGTTGAAGATGTAGATCACCAGGGAGATACAGATACTCAGTACTCACTACTCAGGTAGAGATCAATAATGCAGAGTTGTTGAAGATGTAGATCACCAGGGAGATACAGATACAGGTATAAATTACAAGGAGTTGAACCACTTATCTTCTACTTGAATTGAAACACTGTTAAGCTACCTCCATGTAGATCAACTACTTATCCCTATTAATTAATATAGTCTTTCGGTGACGAAATCGTCAGATATATGGTAAATTTAATCTGGTCACTTATCAACATATTTTTGAAGTTTTGAAGTTTTATTTGTTTTAATCAGGGATGTATACTGAGACATATATTCTTTAAAAATAACCCCCAACTTTGCAATTTGAACTCCATTGCCAATTATTCTGCTGTGTCCTGCTCCTGGGAAGAAACGGATAATGGATATGGATTGATTTAAAATATGAATATTGAATTCATATTTATTTTTAAAAATTCATCTTAGCTAACCCCCGCCCCACCCCCACCGCTTCAAATTAAGTTTATTAATTTGCTTTATTACAAAGTTCAGCGCAAACAGTTGATAGTTTGGTACTAGTACAAACGTCGGACCCACAAACGTCGGAAATATCTAAGGTCTACAACATCGGCTTTCAAAGATATAGGGATTAAACTGTTTGATCTTGTAGAATTCAATAGTTGGACATTTTTTAAACAATCGTCCATTCAAAATCTACCAAGTCCGACGTTTTTCGTTATAAATCTACCCGTCCGACGTTTATACTGGTCTGACATTTGTACCAGTCCAACGTTTATACTAGTCCGACGTTTGTACTAGTCCTACGTTTGTAAGTCCGACGTTTGTTACTAGTCCGACGTTTGTACTGGTCCAACGTTTGTACCAGTCCAACGTTTGTACCAGTACTTTAAATTTATCTTCGATTCGGTGGTTCAAATTTTTTTATCTTTCTGGTCCTTATACGCCCATTAGTTTTTTGTTTATTTTTCGAAAAATCAAGTGATTTAAAAACTTTCAAAACTACCTAAAGAGTCGCACACAACGGATAAGACTTCAAAGAGGAATGTACGATGTACACTGTACAGTGTACAAAATTGTACACTGTACAGTGTACAAAAGTGGAAAGTGTACATTGTAAACGGAAAAATCGGTAGTTTTTACTTAATAAATATAAAAATAATATCGTCATTAAAAATGATTTTTTACTTAGATTTACCGAATTCCGCGCTCGTCGGAGTAAAGTTAGCACCGCTGTCATCGACAACATGCTCAAGGGATTCATGGGAGAGAATACGGATCCTTCTAAGGTAAGCAATTAAAGATGAATGATTGAATAATTAAATTAAATTAAATTGAATTAAAATCCCATTCCTAATTTAAGTTCTTAGAACCCTTATTTAAAGTTTTAGTCTTCTTTACCGAAATAAAAATGGAGTTATTAGTTGGAAAACTTTTTTTTTCTTGTTTTCCACTTATCCAAATTATTTAATTTCAAATATATATTTGCATTTTTTTACATAAATTACTTATCGTCGGGAATCCACAAGTCCGCTGCATTTTGTTAATTTTATTTTTACACTACGATGTAATGGGTGTTAATTATTTAGAATAGTAAGCTTGGTTTGAGTATGGATGCGAGTATACTGCCGGCTAGACACGGTGGTTTAACCCTACTCCAGGCCCAGGAGGTTCTTTACCCCTGTATAGATGATCCTTATCTCCTTGGAAGGATATCATGTGCTACTGTTCTCTCCAGTATGTATGCTATTGGGGTGCCTGAGATAGATAACATGCTCATGAAGCTATCTGTATCTAACCAACTCTCAGAGAAGGAACGGGATGTAGTGGTTCCTCAAATGATCAAGGTATACTTACAAAACCACCTTCAAGAAGCAAGATTGAAAGATTTTCGGGGGTATATATACGCATCTTTATATAAATTTGGATTGTCTGTCTGTTTGTATCCAATAAACGTCAAAACGGCTGAACCGATCGGGCCCAAATTTTTTGTGGGACATCACGTAACCACAGGGAAGGTTTATGAATGATCAAAATTTTAAATATTTGTCTCCATCAAAATTCGATCTTCATTAAATTTTTTAAAATTTTGAAAATCCACGAAATTTTTTGTGAAAATCCGCGAATTATTTTTGTTTTGTTTTACGATGTACACAAAGAGAACATGTTCACAATTAATTTAGAAGATGGGCGCGAAGCGCCCTCTAAGGCTAGTATATATATAAATTATAATGATGAATCCAGCATTTAGGGAATGTTGCGCTGATTTAAGTTGTGTTTTTGCTTGTTGATCATTTGGGGAAATGAATTGTTTTAAAATAAAAGTTGGAAACTAATGAATAAATAAATGTGTGCCCAGGGTTTCCGTGATTGTGCTGCTGAAGCGGGAACTTCAATTACCGGCGGGGAGACGGTGGTTAATCCTTGGTGCATGATCGGCGGGGTTGCTACCGCCGTCTGCTCAGACTCCGAATACATTATGTAAGTTAAAACTTGAAACATTTTTTCTCATTTTTTAAAAAGGGTTTGATGACATGTTTTATTTTTATCTGTAATTATCGTGATGGTTGCACTGACGAGTGAAGATCCAATAAAATTGCCAACAAATTTAAATTTAAACAAGTTCCTAGCTTGTTATTTTATATATATTTGTTCTTTCATTAGACCTGATAAATGCAATGCTGGAGATGTTCTTGTTCTCACAAAACCACTTGGAACTCAGGTACTCGAGACAAACTCCTCTGTATACCCTTGTCAAATTGACATCTGAAAATGCCCTTGTGGAAATTGTTATTTTTAATGTATTTCACTTTTACTTGGACACTTATTTCTATGTTTCACAAACAAAACTCTTCAGCCTTTTTTTTAGTTTTTATGGTTTACAGGTATATTTATTAACTCTGTTTTCTGAATTAAGACTAAACTGTTTTTGTTTTTGTTTTATCCATTTTGCTGTGAATGTACACAACTGGTTACGACACCCTGCATCCTGCAGCTAGAAAAATGGAAAGACTAATCATATGAAATAATAATTCGAACTAGAAAATGTATATCTACAAAATTATCCTGACAATACTCTGTCCTTATTTCGGGCTCTGGAGTAAAATAAAACTGGTTTAATCTTGTTTTATCTAGATTGCGGTGAATGTACACAACTGGTTACAAAACCCTGCATCTTGGAGTAAAATGAAACTGGTTTAATCTTGTTTTATCTAGATTGCGGTGAATGTACACAACTGGTTACAAAACCCTGCATCTTGGAGTAAAATGAAACTGGTTTTAACCCAACAGGAAGCTACGTAAGTACTACTTAATTTATATGGCTTCGTTTAGTTTTAAATGTCTTCCCTTTTTTCTTCCATTTTCTCATAATTTCTTTTTTATATTTTATCTGGACACAATTTAATGAATTTGAACTGCCTACCTACCAGTTCAAATTTGAATCACCGATTCAAATTCTTCCTTTAAATTTATCTTCGATTCGGTGGTTCAAATTTGCACCTGCAGTAGGTATTTCAGCACGTAGCTCAAATTCATTAAATTTGATCCCTGAACCAACTTCTGTTTAGGAAGGCATATAAGCGTGCTCTGGACTCTATGAGTAAACTAAACCTAGGAGCAGCTAAGCTAATGCATAAGTACAAGGCGCATGCAGCTACATCTATTGGTGGATTTGGGCTCCTTGGACACGCTATGACCCTCGCGCGCTGTCAGAAGAATGAGGTACACAAACATAATCTTTACAATAAAATGCGTCTCAAATTTGAGACGCGGCTCCAACATGGTTGGTTCCACTTGAAATTGTATTCAGTGTTTCGAATTTGAACCGGCCTCTGGAACTGAAGGGGTTTTTGGCGGTTCAGCGACGCGGTTTAAATTCTTTATATTTTAGCAGAAAATGTACAAAAGCGAGCCATAAATATCATCTCAAACCTGCAAACTGAGATTATCTAATCCCTATATTTTAGCAGAAAATGTACAAAAGTGAGCCATAAATATCATCTCAAACCTGCAAAGTGTTTCTTATATGAGGACAAAATAAAGGAAATTGGTATCCAAACCTTGGAAGCTAGGAGGTTAAGGTTTGACATGATACATATATACAAAACTCTGAACCATAAGATAGCTGTTAATCCAGATATATGGTTTACCAGGGTCCAAGACATCAGCCCAAGAACCACTCGTCAATCTGAAAACTATGTGAATCTACAAATAAAACAGTGCAAAGGTGAAATTCGAAGGAAATTTTTCAGCAATCGAGTTGTCCAACCATGGAACAATTTACCTGCAACTATTCAGAATGCCAAGAATGTAGACAGTTTCAAAAGAATGTACGATGAACATGTGAAAATGTGAATGATATGAACAATGATGGCCAGAACGATAGTGAACTAAAATCATTTACAGTTAAATCAAGAAATTCTCATTATACTCCAATAGGAGTCCTGAGAATCAACACCACATAAACATAAACATAGCATAAGGCACCGCAATGTCGTTAAACTTTGATATTTTTTAAATAAAAAATTCGGCCAGATAAAATAATAGTAGAGAGAGAGAGAGAGAACAGGTGGCCAGGAAGGAGAGAGAGTAACGCGGTAAGGTTGCGCTACGGAAGCTATGGACTGCCCTGGTTCGCATCGTCTTCATATCCTTTAAACATCCTATCAATAGATTGATGGAGGTCTAAAAGTTTATAAGATAGAAGGATTAAAACAAACTGAAGTTGGTACAAAAACTCGGTTTCTTTATTCTACCCTAGATAGAGTGAAATTTTATTGAAAATATTCCAAAACCATCCAGAGATACAGCAACTAATGCTTAGCTTTATTTTAATCCTATTTTTTACTTTAAGGTTTCTTTTGTGATTCACAATCTGCCCGTCATTGCAAAGATGGCTGCTGTTGCCAAGGCAAAAGGAAACATGTTCCAGCTGGCTCAGGTGGGATAGTCAAAATACACAGGGTTATCCACATAGGATGAGACTGTGTAGAAAAAATGAAACTTATTTAATATGACGATTCTCCTTGGTTAAATTAATCCTTAAATGGCTTATTAAATGAATTTGCAAATAAAGAATCAAGTTTACAGTCGCAAAGAATCATGAATGTTAGGACGCAGTCAGTAGAAATTCCGTACAGTCGTCTCTGAAGTCTCATCCTTTGTAGGTAACTGTGTAAGTCAGGTTAAAAAATGACTTTTTAAAGAAGGAAAAAATTTATGATAAAACGTATGAAATAAAAATTTCTTAAAGAAAAGATCGGTTAACGAATTAGCAAATGAATAATAAAAAATAATAGATAAATGATTATGGATTTGATTAATTGATTGATTGATTGATTGATTGCTCTAAAGGGTATGGCTTGTGAGACTAGTGGTGGATTATTAATCTGTTTACCAAGAGAACAGGCTGCTGCATTTTGTAAGGTTAGTTTTTATATGGTGGTTGTAGTGGGGTGGGGTGGTGAGTTGTGACACCAGTTCTCGTTAACTCACTGTAATTAAGCACACCTGTCCACAATCTTCTCAGTATTAATGAAGCGTGGATGGATGAATGTGCTGCCAGGTTACAACCCCTGGTAGATAAATATAAACCTATGTCCCATATAACACCAAATATTCACAATAGAAAAATTCCGAGATTCGATCGTAACAACCCAATCATGTCTTAGGGACAAAAAAATCTTTTTAATAAAAACATACTTAGAAGAGATCAGGGGGGGGGGGGTTATATTGAAGAATTTTCTTAGATCTGGGAAGGATGTCTCTTTTGTGGATAATTTTTATCCAAAAAATAGTTTTTTTCCCTAATATAGGGAGAGAAAAACACATTCCTAAAATTCCATCCTGATGGGGAAATTAATTTTAATTAGGGTGAATACATTCATTCTGAAGTGTTGGTTATTATTATTATTATTATAAAAAGTCAACCTACAAACAAAGTTCCATAACGTGTAGGTTATTATACAATGAAAACAGGGTTGAGCTCCGCCACATCCCTGGTTTATATGGGATCATGTGCATCATATCTGATTCAGATTGAGGGGTGTTTGAACCATTTTCTGTTATCGTATAAATATGCTGATTGTTGATCTTATTCCAGGATATAGAGACTAGTGAAGGGAACCAAGCCTGGATAATTGGTATTGTGGAGAAGGGAGATAGATCAGCCAGGATAATAGATAAACCTAGGATAATAGAGGTAGGTACTATACAGTACACAGTACACATAGATAGATCAGCCAGGATAATAGATAAACCTAGGATAATAAAGGTAGGTACTTTACAGTACATAATACACAACAAACAATTCACGGTACACCCAGGTTAATAGAGGTAGGTAGTATACAGTTAACAGTACAACTTGACAGAACACAGTACACCTAGACATCTATCTGAGGTGATTCTGAATCTATCTGACACAATACGCACTATACATTACGCCCATAATCCAGACTGCACAAACACCAGGCTCGAATATATTTAGAAGACGACAATCTATAAGTCCATTGAAACCCAGAGGATACATATTTGTACAATTAAGATACTTAGTACCCTTTGCAATACAAACGTGTGTCATTTTATAACGTAAATGTTTACAAAATTCTGTTTTCTTTACTATTACCATCAGTATAGTTGTACTATGTACATTTAACATGCAATTAGTTTCTTGTTATTCTTTGTAAATATATATATAAAAGGTTTTTAGGGCGATTCGCGCCCATCTTTTATTTCAATTGTAAACATGTTCTTTTTGTGTACATTGTAAAACAAAACAAAAAAGTTTTCGGATTTCGATAAAAAAAAATTTCATGGATTTTCAAAATTTTAAAAAATTATATGAAAATCAAATTTTGATTTGGGCAAATTTTTTTATTTTGTTCATTCATAAACCTTCCCTAGGGCCACGTGAGGTCCCACACAAAATTTGGGCCCGATCGGTTCGATAGAACTACATATAGATATTTAAAATATAATGTTTAATAAGTTGCAATGATTGATAAGGAAATTGTGATATTAAAAAACTTAAGTAGAACATTATTATTATTATTAACAATCAACCTTCAGACTAAGTACAACGACTTAATGTGTATATTTGGCCTTTTTTCATATTATTTAATATGTAATATAAGAAATCTTCAGTTCAAAAATCTAAGGGAGTTAAGCATTTAAATTGTTACAATTTATAAACTATAACTAAATTTTGTTCTAAAATATTTGTTGTTTATTTATTTTCTTTAAATCAATTGTTTTTATTTTCTATAAAAGTGGTTCATAATAAAATTGGCTTCCGGTGTCGCATAATATAACTGAAATACTTACCCCACCTCGCAGGAATAAAAAAGAAAATCAATTTTTAAATGTCGTCTTCATATTTCTGATATTCTCTCAGCCTAGTGTTTGTTCTGTCTGGATGCTGTGTACGCCGTACTCCTAGATCTTAACAGACTAAAACCTCTGGTTGTGATAGCGCTAGACAATAGACAGTAGACACATCGACTGAATTCAATTTTCCACAGTGAAAACTTTAAAATAAGATTATTCATTGGAATTTGGATGTATGTGAAATTCACAAAGATAAAATAAGACATTATTTTAAAGATAAGACATTATTTTAAAAATAAGACATTATTTTAAAAATAAAACATTATTTTAAAAATAAGGGGGAGAGGGACAGTTTTTTTAAAATCCACAATGGAGTTTGAGAAAGTTTCATAGAAATTAAAATAAAATTTTGTTCATTGTTTTTGATTGTGATCTAATTGTTAATTTTTTTCAGGTTCCAGCTAAGGATCGGGAAGGAGAATTATGGTGATGTAAATATGTTTCGATATTTGAAACGTTCTGAAGAACAAGACAACGATTATGAGATTAATACAGTGTCAACTGTCGGTGTATATATCAATATTTTAGTATTATATCATATATGTTCGGTTCCATAGTAGTTAACCTATCGTGTAAGAATTCCCATTACTACACGGTTCAGGAGAACAATATTAATATTGTTCGCTTCCTAGCGTTCAAGAATGATAAGTCATACTCTGGTAGTGTAGAATTTTCATTCCTTAACGCTCAGATTGTGTAAGAATGGAAATTACAGGGTGTCCCACATCAAATTAGACCGCGTCAATGGGTCTAAATTACGATTTGGGGGACAAATCAGAAAATTTAAGAAGAATGAATCATTTTGAAAAATTTAATACGGCTAATAGAAATTTTTTGTTGCAGAAAATGATAGATTTTTTTAGTATAATGTGCGTATTTAGGTGTTAAAGATTGGAGATAATCTAATATGATATGGGACGCTCTGTATTACACGGTCAGAGCGTGAAAGAATATCCTTATGAGGAATAAAATGTTAATAATGGAAATTCTTAAAAGTGATGTAATAATCTTGATGTATTCTTTAACTAAGGCCGCATAGTAAAAAATAATTCTGTTTTTTAATTTTCTTATGTTTAAATGTTAAAAACCATTTTATTAGTAAAAATTGGTTCTTAATTTGAAAATAATGAATGTGGTGTGATTGTTTCCTTAGATTAGTTTGTTTGTTTACCAATTTCTAATGAATTTGCTTGATTTCCAAGTTGATACTGCATTTAGATACAGCATGTTGAATGTGCCCTAAGTTTATTTTAGATGGGGAGAATACATCAAGATTATTTCATCTCGTTTAAGAACTTCCATTATTACATTTTTTTCCTCATAAGATTATCATATTCTTTCACGCTCTGACTATTCTAGAGTTTTCATTTGTTTACAGAACTTAAGATTTTGACAGCCTTGTTTGAAAACCAATCTACAAAGGTAGGCTTTAAAGAAGTATCTCTGATTTGAAAATCTTAATTTTTATGATATTCAATCCTTTTAGTAATGCGATTTCATAATGATTGAGGCGGTGCTTCAATTATCTGAGATAGTAGCCACAATCCAAAGAAAATGTTCCAACCGTGAATACTGGATTCATATTTACGGCTACCAAAAAATGTAAATAAAATCTCTCATATGTAAATACAAAATAGGACACTTGTTACTTAAATAAAAAACCAAGTTTTGAGTTATAAAATCCCAGTTTGATTATGTTTTGTTTATTTTGTTTCATTTTTTTCCCTGTAAGTTTTATTTTTCCAACACCCACTCAACAGGTAATTCATCCGAAAAAAAAATCAAGTATTATCATGAATTATGTTTTTGTTATTTATCTAAATGTATGATCTTTTTCATATCTGTAAATAGTAAATGTTTTGTAAATGCTGAACCTGTTTCAGAATAAAGAATGGCGGGAAAAATTAGCATTGAGGAGAAATTAAAGGAGGCTACTAGGTGGGTCATTGAAACATTTTCGGACGCCATTTTACTAAACCCTGAAACATGATCTGTGACCCTAAACCAACCTTTTCGTACAATACTGGGATCTTTCTGGGGCATAACTGATTCACAACGGTACTATTTTTAACCTTTATCCGATCAATATTGTGAAAGAAATCGTTCTTAACAATTCCATCTCTTGTTTTTCCGAAAGTAAAGAGTTATTTTTAAAGTATTATTAATAACCTTGAATGAAAAGTATGCAAATAATTCGGGTTTCAAAAGTCGAAGAAAATATCTAGGCCGAACGCTGCAGTAACTAAGATGTGACAAGAAATAGTTGCATACAATTGTATTCTCAATAAATGAGGGAGATTGAATTATCAGAAAGTCGACAAAGGGATTTAATATTAACTTTTTTTAAATAGTGTTATCATTATTGTTATTTTCTTGGTGAATTTGGGTGACGAATCCTACTGTAGGTAGTTTCCAATAAAGAGACTCCATGCAATAATTGAAATGAAACTGAACCGTTAAAAGCGTGTATTAAATATGAATAAGATATCATTGTTTGAAATTTTGAAAAATGATCGTTTCAATTGTGGTTTCTCTACGAAAGCGAGTTGGGCATTTCTACTAAAGGAGAGAAAACATCAAGGATCTATCAGGATTAAACACTTTTTAACATCGATTAACAACAATCGTCCACATTATTGATCAGAAAAAGGTCTCAATGGAATCGAGCATTGGCATCTTTGAAGTTAGGGTTACCTGAAATTGCGCTTACAGTCCTATTAGAACTTCTTCAATCTTCTTCAAATACTTACAGAATTATTTTATTTTAAAGAATTATATTGTAGATATAAAGAGATGGGAAATGAACTGTACAAGATGAAAGATTACAGAGCTGCAGCTGGAAAATATCATAGATCTATTCTTTATCTAAAGGTGGGGAAATGTAACCCGTCTTCAATTTAACTAATGTGCGGGGTAGGTAAACTGCCTACTGCCGATTCAAATCCTTCCTGAATCTTTAACTTTGAATTGGTTGGTTCAAATTTTAAGCGGGCGACCGCGACGTAGCTTTAATTCTTTAAATTCGGTCCCAGGATTCGTGATAATATGTTTTACCCCAGCCCCCCCCCCCTCTAAGTGCATTATACGATGTGTAATAAATTTGACCAAAAAATAATTACTTAATTTCATTCTTGACATGATAATATTTCACCCTAAAACGTAAGAAATGCAGATTCATTGTAATGCAAAATTTGGATCTGAAATCCGGAAACTAATCCCGACATTGATCCAGCCTATGAATATTCTTTGTTTTATTAACTTTCTCTGCCAATACTTTTTTTTCTCGCCTGTTATATAGATTATTTACTTTTCAATGATTGGATGATGGAGCTTCAATGATATATCGTTGGTTGACAATGAGAGTTAGGGTTTTTTGAGATTTTGATCAAAACAAATTTTATTTGATAATAAACTCCCTAGGTATTGATGGAATCGAGTTAAATTAAGAAACTGTAAACAGTTAAAAGAGATGCTTATAAAATCGTAAAATTAGAAATAATGTTGTAACTTCAGCACATTGGTTTTCGTAATTGATGGAGAATGGGAGCATTTTGTCAGATAGATCACAGACTATGTCTAAGACACGCTTGGACTGTAAGATGGAGCCCTAAAATGTATCCAGAAGAAATTCTGTGTCTATACATTCTTTGGAATGTATAATCTCTCCAAAGAAACATTTTGCCACGTGGGTCCAATGGATCCGGATCCGGTCGAATCACAGAACTTTAACAAATAAGACAATGATATTAGAATTGGACTAGGCCCAACCAGTGCTTAGGTTCAGGATCCGTTGGATCCGCAACATTTTACCTTCCTGGATCTAGATTTGCACAAATATGCGGAATCAAGGTGCAAAATATTAATTAAAAACTGTAAAAACAAAAATTCGCTCGCAAAAACCCTAATCTTAACTACCAAAAAAACCAGAGATAATTAATCAGAACCTTATCTCTGAATGGTTCTTCAAGTTTTACCGACTAAAAGTTCACGACATGGATGCGGGTCCATATTTTTCAGGGAGCTGATCTAGGAACCGGATCCGGATCCTCATCAAAATGAAATGGATCCTAAGCACGAGGTTAAATCTAGATGAATGGCTAATCTACTGAATGGCCAACATAGACAAAAAAAATGAGATGTTTTAATTATCACACCAGTGATACATTAACATAAATTCACCAATTAAACCAATTAATCTATGTTGGGGGGGGGGGGACGATCCTATCAGTTACCAGCTAATAAGCTAAATTCAGTATTTTTACAATTTATGTTAAAACTTTGTTTAGGGAATAGACAATGATCTGCATGGTACTCCTGCCTACCTTCAAGCTGTGTCCGTCAACCCTGATCAAGCAAACTGTATATCCAAGCAGATGGAACAGGAATGTATTCAGCTCAATATTCAAGGTAGGTCAGGATCATTTTCAGTGGAATATATTTTCATTTTTTCCCTTTTGAGCATAAAAATGCGACATCAAAAGGCAAGTTGTTTTTATCCGTTTTGGTACTTAATGCCAAAAATTAATTTATTTTTCCATAAAAATTAGTAATTTTTTTTCGATTCAGCGAATAAAATGTTTTATGACAAGACTTTCAAAATTCTGACACTCAAGACTGAGCGAAGAAAGAACAAATTGACCAGAGTCTAAAACTAAAGAACAAAAAGTTTTGACTTAAATTTTAAGTTCATGGTTAAATGCCACTTCTGACTTAATTCAAACCTGAACTTTAACCGTGAGGTTAAATATTTTTGCATGTAAACCCAAAATACGGTTGTAACTCGAAATATGTTTTGTTTTCGGTTACATAATCAGCTGATTAGCGATGGTTATGTAATATTCTCCGTAAATCCTTTTCTCTGATTGGTTCAGATTTTCCCGGGAAATTCAAATTTAAAATTGAGAAAGTTTAATATTTAAGTAGCTATTCATTATTTTACAGAACTTTTAACCTCGAACTTAAAATTCGCGCATTCTTTAGTTTTANTAAAAAATAACAAATTAGTGTTTTTTATTGAATTAACAATAACGAAGTTTTGACCTCTAAGAATTAACAATAACGAAGTTTTGACCTCTGTGAATTAACAATAACGAAGTTTTGACCTCTGTGAATTAACAATAACGAAGTTTTGACCTCTGTGAATTAACAATAACGAAGTTTTGACCTCTGATTTTGAAGGTTGTTATTGAGTTGGATGATAAGAATGAGAAAGCTTGGTTTAGAAACGGACAAGCTTGCATGAAACTGAAGGAGATAGACAACGCTTTGGAAAGCTTTAAGAAGGTAACCATATTACATTATATCAGACGGAAGAGGTTCTAGGCAGTGAAATATGAAATTCAAAACTTGAATGTTTTCTGATAGAATATTGATAGTTTGAAGCTGCAAGCACTCAGCTTATTTGTAGCTGGTTTTAATCTTAATATGAAAACATATGTCAAATGTTACTTTATTTTTGAAACTTTTGAGAATTTGTTTTTGACTTTTTTGAGACTTGAAATGCTAAATATTAAATGTGGTCAGGGTATTTAAGACCTAAGGGGCTCAAATTCGGAAAAAAAAACTCTTAAGGTAGATCTTCATAAAACTCCCCACACATGAATTATGAATGTTGTGATCTCCTTCCTTTGCAGTTCACAGATATATTGAAAAATACCTGAATTTATGGTAAAATTAATCTTTGAGCATGAAAAAGAACTTTTCTTGTCCCAATTTTTCGTTTTTTTCCCCAGGTCTTCGGGGGGGGGGGGAATAATTCTTAAAAATATACACCACAGTAGTTATTGCCTCAGACTATCAATATTTAATAATTATATAAATCCTGTTCTATTGTTCAGGTTTCTACACTAAGCAACGGAACGAACAAGGAAGCTGAGAAACTATTGAAGGAATGTCAGCTACAGCTGGAAGATCAACGATTGAAGGTAATCAATCAGGTATGTAGAATGATAGTTATCAAAATCTTATCGACATTATTGTCACATCTAAATCAAAATCTTATCGACATTATTGTCACATCTAAATCATATCTTATCAATATCATATCTTATCAGATCATATAATGATATAATAGTAAACGCGCGTATCCCGTATTCCCGGAAGGGAGACTCAATCCACCAGCATTTAATTGATACTAGAAATAGTTTGTTTGGTAATTCGCTGGCGGAAGGAGTTAATCCGGACACATGGCTCAAATTTGGTCGTGATACCCGACGTTAGGCCTAAACTATGTCAGGCTGAAAAGCCTTGATCTAGACGGGATCGTGATGGCGTACCCCAGCTAGATCGAGGAGCCCACGGGACTTCCCTAGCTTCTTGAATTGAATTGAATTGAATTGAATGGTGAACAATCTTCAAGTCATTCTTTATTAACTTATAAATTTATAGATTTTCATTAATGTTTGTTCAGCACTAATGACATACAAGAATTAATTATAAACTTTAACCGTAAATCGGTGGCAATGGTAACTAATGGGGGACTTTTGCTCTCAGTACACACATTTGTAGTGCCAACAAATTAGACAGCATTTTAAAACATTATTAATACTTCAGATGTAAGTCAAGTTCCGGATGAAAAAGGTCAAAACGAAATAGGAAAATTTTTGAATTTTCGTTTCAATAGCAAAACTTAGAAAAATTTAATTGAGCTGGAGTCGTTGGAAAGGGATCCGGATCTTAATGAAACTGATCCTAAGCACTTTTTAGTGTGTTACATTTTTGGACTGTCAACTAGATTTCAGTGAACCTTCTCTTGAAGAATACAACCTGGCCTTACCTGAAGCAGTCGTTTATAGCGTTATTCAATTTTAAACACACCGACTTTTTGTCTCGATAAAATTAATACTCGTCAAAAAAAACTTCTCTTTAAACCTTCGAAGATATTATAATAAAATTAATGTTTTTAGGAGAAGAAGATTTATCAGGATATGTTCAAACCTAGAAGTTCCTAATTAGAGACAGTAAACCGATCATCTTCATTCTTCAAGATGTATACTCTTTCAGGCTGTTTTTTTTATCTTTTTGTGTAAACGGATTTTTTTTAACTTAAAGGGAGTAGTCTCGAAATTTCATTCCAGGATTAATAAACTTATGGACAATTATTCTCAATACTTAACATTGGTTGTGGAATCTCCCTTAAAGTTGAGTCTTGTTATTTCATCCGTTCATTTGAAACTAATCTGTGATCTCGGCATTGTTTTTTACTGTTTTCTGAAAAAATGTTAGAAGTCATTATTTCTTGATTAAAACATTAAGATATTAGATAAACTGGCTGAAGGTAGTTTGATGAATGTTTTAACAAAAATAAGTTCTTCTCAAATATTTCAGAATGAAAATGTGAGATGATAACGCCCGAGACTATAGGTGGCGTTCTCGCCTGCTTTCTGCTGTGTGTAGTGGCGCCCCCTATAAGTGGGCTTGTAGTGAACGCTGCCGCTTGTATTAAAATATCATCAGAGCAGCTTATCAATTCAATTGCATCAGGGATACCAACATTTTCACAATTAAATCCCTTAAATGTCAAATAAGAAATATGTTGTTGAGAAAAGAGCATAAAGGAAAATATCAGAACTTTTTTTTGACTATTTCGAATTTTAAAATTTTTTAATCAGGATCATCTCTAAAATTACCAGAAAAATGGGCTTTAAACTTTTTAGAGTTTTAATTTAACTCCCCTTTATCCCCTAATATTAAATACGGGGCATTTTTCTTGAAAATTGTTTTTCACCAATATATATATATTATGAGGGAAAAAGAAGAAATGTAAAAGTTTTCATTTCTTCTCCAAAATTCTTTGTCTGAAACTTATAAACCCCGATTCAAAATTGTTTGGTTTTAGTAACTGTAATGTGCATCCTCCTCCATTATTTTTATAGTGAACCAGGGAACCAGGCTCGCATACCGTTTATAAATAGGTAACCTATCAATGGGACTATGATAATAACCCGCTACGCAAAGATGACAAATGCCCGAATCACAACGGTACCATTGAAACCTATTTCTGATCATTAATGTGGAAGATATTGTCATTTCTTTAAGGTATAAACGGAATTCATAAAGATAATTCCTACATGTTTTTTTGCATTAGAAATGCGCAAGTCACTTTGGTAGAGAAACCATACTTAAAAGTAATCAGATTTCAAAATTTTAACTTTAATTTTTTAATTCATACTTTATGCGACAAAGCTTTTAAGGGTACCTTATGTGAATCAGTCATTGTCATCTTTACACTGAATGTAACTTGCAGTTTATTGCTCTTCATAATCTTGGATTTCTTTAATTCGCTAAAGCAAGTGTTTCGGTTGATATGTTACCATTACATATCTCTCCCCTTTCTGTATAGTATATGATTGTTTTATTGATGATTTTAAAAGAATGTACAATGCTATTGTGGAATGTATCATTTACTCACAGAAAATTATCATTAATCCTAATTTTTATGAAAGTAAACGACATTCCTTTGTGAAAAGTTGGTTTTACATGGACCTGCATTATTGAGTTTATTAAATGAAAAAAAATTGATAAAGGAACACTCATTTTGCGTTCATTATTTCTAGAACCAAAATAGACTGCACTATTGCATAGTTCTTATCATATAACCTTTTTTCCTTAGAAACTTTGGTTCCTTGAATATCTTGAAGCAAAAGGTTGTGGTCAAGTGGCCTGAAGATTGGACAGCTTCAAATACTAAGGTAGTTTTCTACTTCTTGAATATCTTGAAGCAGAAGGTTGTGGTCAAGTGGCCTGAAGATTGGACAGCTTCTAATACTAAGGTAGTGTTTACTCCTTGAATATCTTGAAGCAGAAGGTTGTGGTCAAGTGGCCTGAAGATTGGACAGCTTCAAATACTAAGGTAGTTTTCTACTACTTGAATATCTTGAAGCAGAAGGTTGTGGTCAAGTGGCCCGAAGATTGGACAGCTTCTAATACTAAGGTAGTTTTCTACTTCTTGAATATCTTGAAGCAGAAGGTTGTGGTCAAGTGGCCCGAAGATTGGACAGCTTCAAATACTAAGGTAGTTTTCTACTTCTTGAATATCTTGAAGCAGAAGGTTGTGGTCAAGTGGCCTGAAGATTGGACAGCTTCTAATACAAAGGTAGTTTTCTACTACTTGAATATCTTGAAGCAGAAGGTTGTGGTCAAGTGGCATGAAAATTGGACAGCTTCAAATACAAAGGTAGTTTTCTACTACTTGGAAATAGTTCGGAAAATCGGACTCACTGTGTATTTCTTTTATAAAGGTATTGTAAGCGTAATTTTAAGTGATCCTCCATGAAAAGATGTCGAATGTCCGATTTACAACGGTACCCTTAAAACCTTTATCTGATCAAGTATGAATTAGTTATGCGTGTTTTTGTTTTCTTTTGCGGTTTTTTTTTTCTGCGAAAGGAAAATCTCTTGTTATTACAGAAATAAACATTTTTCAAGTCGGAAAAAAACTAAGATATCTTCCAGATGTTTAATCAGGTTAAGGTTTCAATGTTATAATTGTAAATCGGGCATTGTTATCTTTTCATGGGTGGCTGTTAGTGTGCAGTTGGGCGGTGGCATATGTCATTGGTTTGTACTTAGACAGTTGGACACACTAGAGAGTGTGTCAACAATTGGTACATTAATAGCCATTAGGGCTTTTCCTGGCGAAGTCTCAGCCTTGACCTCTACGGAATGATGGTTGATTGTTTGTTTGTATCATACAGGGTTACTTAAAATAATACTTTAATCACCTCAAAATCTTATTTTCTAATCCATGACCATTCGATCTGACAAATTGATAATTTGGAATATGAAAGGTCTGATACATCAGGATACAAAGATTAGAAATTAGAATTTGTGGCAAGTATTTAAAGTAAGTAAAAAAGTTAATTTAGTTAATTTTGGAGAGGTAAAATTATATTCTCTAGTGACAGAGTTTTACTATTTTACTTTTGTTTTACTTCAGAGTTGGAGATACCTGGTGTCTCTGAAAAAAAAGTATGTTTAGGCTTTTTAGTTTTTAGTCTACTAATCATCGTTTAAATGTTCTAAGTGCTTCTAGTACAATAATAAAGACCACAGGCGTTACACACCGGTCTACCCTCTTCATCCTTCCTCCATAAGCTCGTCTTTAAGGTCATACAGTTCACGCACTTGGTCAGCATATCTGCGGAAACACGGGTTCTTTTCACGGGCTTTCTTAAGGGCTGTGGGAACAGGGAAAGGTTGAATTGAAATTCTTGATTAAGGCAGGGTTGGCTTTGATTACAATCTGACTTAGGGGAGAGAAGGTTTTCTATTTCTAGATCACTTATATCAGACCCAGAGGTTGGAATATCCATGTTTTGATCAATGTAAGACATCTCCTCGTCAGAAACAACAATTATAATGTCACCATCCAAGCTAAGCTGAGAACCATATTCTGTATGAGAAAACATCTGCTGCTCTGGGTACTCTGGTTGGTACAGGAAAGGTGATACTTGGTTATAAACTGGGAATAACGAAGATCTTGTAGGATCGGGAGAGAATGAGATTCCCTGACCAGGTTGAGTTGGTGGAAAATAATTTAAGGTCTGATGAGACCTGAACCTAATGCATTCAGATATCCCTGGACACTGGTCGCACTCTGTCTCAGTATCCCAACTTATAGGGCACACTGGGGCATCAAGTAGACCTTCAAGTACGGATCCAGGTTTAGTTTTAGTATTCAGATGGGTTGATGGAAGAAGTGATAGATTAAACTCCATTGTTGGAGATCTTGTTGGTTTGAAATCTTAAAGATAACTAATTCTATCAATCCGGAATCCAGGACTTATAAATCCTATTCGAAGCTTAGAAAAGCTCCGGTCGTTCAGGTGATAATAGGGTTGACCGGAGCGAAGTCTCCATCTTGCGTCGGTCGTGGGTAAGGTTGACCGCATTAAAATAAGAGGGGAGGGAGTGGGGTTTATCTACGACCGGAATATAAATAATTGCGGTCGTTTAAAGACAAATGGAGAAATTACATTCTTCATAAGAAATTTTATGTTAAAAAAATATTTTTGTTAAAACCCCGCTTCCCAAATTTAATGTTTTAATATTCTAATATTTAACCAGATAAATTTGCCTTTCTCATACTTCAGCGTTAAATCAAATCTATCGGAGCTACAAGGTCACAAAGTTGTTAATGTAATGTTGCATAAATTTCACGTTCTCCTTTTGTTTAGTTTGCAGTGATATCAATATCTTAAGGTGTTGCTGATGTTTTTTTTAAGGACACTTTAAAGTTAAATAAGTATTTTTTAGCTTTAAGACATCTCACATTTCACTATCTCGATGGAGTTGGTGACTGCAAGCTAAACAGAAAGAGAAGGTCAACTTTATGCGACATAGCTTGTACGACTTTGTGACCATGTAGCTCCTCTAGTTTTGTTGTTACATATTGGTATAAGAAAATAAATTTACCTGGTTACATTTTAAAAATTAAAAACATTGATAAATGAATAAAATCTAAAATCAGTGGACTGTCCACTGTCCACTGTGAACTAGATAGATGAAGGCTAAACTTATGAAACATTACTGGTACTGCTTTGTGACCTCGTATCTTCTCTAGTTTTGATCTCATCATATCAGAAACTCAAAGCATTGTTGTTCTCCATAATAGTTCTTTAATAAGATGGGTTATGATTTAACAAACTATTTCAATCTTACCTACAATTTACTTTTTGACGCAGGGTTTCTGTATTTAAGTAATTTTTTAAGAATAAAGTGTTTTGTATCGATAAATAAATAAAATCAAATAAAAACATATTTCTGTCTACTGTGAACTAGAAAGATGGAGAATTTATGAAACATTACTTGTACGGCTTTGAGAACTCGTATCTGCTTTAGTTTTGATCTTATGCACAAGAATCATATTAGAAACTCGTAGCATTTTTGTTCTCCTTAAAAGCTCTTCAATAGGAGAGGCGTTTTGATTGAAAACAAATAAGATCTCAATCTCCTGTGCAGGTAACTTCAGTTTAACGTGTGTCTAGGTTGTGAGGTTCCTGTTGCAGACTATTGATGATGTTAGAGCAGAGATTAGATGTCTAGGAGAAACCATAACACACACTCTTCTATACGAACAGGTCAACAAGAATCAAGAAATGAATTAGATTTATTTATCTATAAAAAGGGAGTTAAATCTCCAATCTTAATGATGGAGACTACGGCATAAAATATGATTTTGCAAGCATTTCATAACACTTTAACTTATTACATACAAATTTTAACTATTCCAAGACTATATGCCCCCCCCCCTTTCTATAGTAAGCTTTACTTTTATTTGTAATGGGGGGTTCACCTTGATTTTGATGAAGTGATTGTATACTGGTTATTATTATTAATAATATTGTTGTCTTTGTTGTCTGTGTCGTTTTCGTTGTCGTTGTCGTTGTCGTTGTCGTTGTCGTTGTCGTTGTCGTTGTCGTTGTCGTTGTCGTTGTCGTTGTCGTTGTCGTTGTCGTTGTCGT